CCAAAACAAGCTAGAAAGAATACATTGAGCTGATTGCTAAAGTTGGTGTTCTTTCAAGCCAGCCTGGTCTGTCCTCTCCCAGTTTGGACTGATTCCAGATTGGTTTTTCTTAACCATGGAGTACCACTAATCCAACTAGTTGGGCCTATTCCCAACCATTACCCCCAGTACCCATGGGGTGTACAATTCTTCCACCCACACCAACCTGAAAAAATTATATAAGAAGCCCACAGTGCAAGGCACCTCACTTCGCTGCTGAGTTGCACGACACAGGTATACTCAGGAAAGTAACACAGTCAAGAGAGAGGTCTCTGATGAAGGTCTCTCGTCTCTTGTCTTTTACTAAGTGCTTCACAAACAGACAGGCAAATGTTTAAGGCTTGAAATCTCTGTAGTTCATCATAAAAAACCTGTCTGTCGTGTCACATATATGTGAAAACCAGAGCCAACATGGGAAAATGGACCAGCACACTCCCTTTATTATAAGTTTACTCCAGAATCTCAAAGCTGATATGAATTACTGCCAAGAGCTATTTCACTCAACAATCAAAAGTATGTGTGTGTCTTTTTTCATGTACATCAATGTATTTTAGCTTGCTGAGGCAGCTTGAAGAAAGCACCAACGAGGGAGTTTAAATAACTTGCATTTATTTTCTTACAGTTCTTGAGGCTAGAAGTCCATGATCAAGGTGGTTGCAAAATGAATTTCGTCTGAGCCCTGTCCTTCTGGTGGATAGACTGTGGTCTCCTCTTGTGACCTCGCACACAGAGAGCTCTCTGGCTGGTCTTCCTCATGTTATAAGGATATCAGTGCTGTCACGTTAGGGGCCTACCCTTTTGACCTTATGTAGCCTAATTACCTCCCCATCACCCTACCTCCAATTATCACCTCATTGATTAGAGAGTCAATGCACAAATTTTAGGAGGTACAGTCTGCTCAGAACAGTGTATAATCTCAGGGGCCCACACTTCTAAAAATAACAATATTTTAAGCAGTGGCACACACCTGCAACCCCAGCTACTCAAGATGCTGAGGCAGGAGCCTGGCCTGGGCAATTTCGCAACTTAGCAAGATCCTATCTCAAATTTAGAGCTAAAAAATGCTGGGAATGTCATTCCATGTGAAGGTCCTGGGTTTAATCTCCAGTACCAATGTGGGGTTGAGCAATTTAAAATATCTTAAACTAAAGTTTGTTTTGCAAATTTCTTTACATTTCTAGGGTGCATTAAAAAAGGGGAGACTTTCTGACTGTCACTAATTTCTAAGAACTCCTTTTAAATTCTTTATTATTAAATTACATTTTTATAATTATGAAAAGGAACTACTAGTACAGAACAAAACTCTTTACCTTTAATCCTACTATAGTATTGTACAACTACTGTCATTTATTTCATTCCAACTGGTGGAATTCCAAGGGTTTGTCATGGACATGATGTTTATTCAAGTTTATGTTCTTTTTTCACTGAAAATAATTTTGTAAATAATTCTCCTTTATTGATTTAACATAGTTATTGAAAGGATTTCTGTGTCTAACTTTAATAGAGCGCAACAGGTTTGACTTACTGAGTTTTACAAATGGCTCCATTTTTTAAAAACTTAGCCCATTGCCAACCAAAACTGTTTGTCTCGATGGGGTATCTTTAAATGCATAGCAGCCTAGGGATCTTCAAGGAAGCAACAGAATCATTAGTTGATGGGATTCACTTGATCACCCAGAATTGCTATTTTAACATATGTTCTGATTCTTCTAGGCCTCTTTTTCATTCAAGCATCAGATAGCCTCTGTTATTCCGGAAGACTGGGAGGGTTAATGTTCTGACGTGCACTTCTCACAAGCCATATCGTGAACATGAGACATGGCAAGTTTGCTCTCTGAAAAGCTATGAGGGGCAGACTACAACCAAGGATGTTATGCTAAACATATTCCTCCTCCTAGCATTGCTTCTTCTCCATTACTGAGTGTAAAATTACTTCAGTTTTTAAAAACTGATTATATTAAGGGTTAAGAATTCCTGGGCCTTGCAAAGATGAAACATATAGAAGTTGGTTTTGGAGAGATTTACATTGGTATTTCTGGGTCTAGGAATCAAACCATCTCTTGAGATTGCAAGTCAGAAGTAGAAGAAAGAAATTCTCTTTGGCATTTTACAGAGTCATTCAAATTGATTAGAATCATGGCCCCGACTGCTCTGCCAAGAACTCATCATAACTGGACCAGGTTGTGTTCTGTTTTCCTGTGAAAGCATTGAGTGTACTCAGGGTGTTGTTTTTGGACTCTAGACAGAGTAGGCACATTCCATTATTTGGGGACACATTGAACATTCCTTTATTTCCAAGGCTTACTTGGAGGGAAGGGAAGAAGGAAGAAAGAGAGGGAAAGGATGAGGCATAAAAGGAGAAGAGATAGGTTCGTTAAACATCTTACTTTCTGTCTAAATTTATAAAGTGTATGTTACAAAACTGTGTTGAGGACCCAAATATCTTAATGGTGTGTTTGCATGTCTTTAAAGAAAACATGATATTTGAAGACCAGCATCTGACATCTTCAGAACAAATGAAGTTCTGAACTCAGGTCTCCATCAGTATTTTCCTACTAACCATGTCTGTGTATAATGTCATACTGAAGAAGTATGGTACCTGAACATTTTTATTTGCAGAGGAATAGGCAAGATTTATCATCAAGAAGAGTTCAGTTTGGTGAAGATACTTTATGTGGTTCTTACTGTTGATTGAGTTATAAATTATCTTCTAATTCCAAAAGAAGGTAAATAATAAGTCAGGACATTGAAAATAAATATTGAAAGGAAAAGTTAGAAACAGTAAGAGCAAAAGTAAAAATCAGTGACTATATTATTAGCCAGTATTGGAGTATATCCTATAGGCAACTTAGAGAGTTACAGGTTTTATGTATTTTAGTTTCATCCTCTCCACAGCTCTTTAAGCAGATGCTGTTGTTATCCTCACTTTATAAGAACAGAGAAGCGTGGTCAGATTGGTCATTTGTGTGAGGTCACACAGCTCCAAGCATTAGAATTAGGATTTGGGTCTTGCTTAGAATTTATATGCTAATCCCAGACACTATGCTGCCTTTCAAACTTGATGACGTCTCTTTTCTGAGCTTTGAGGCAGACAAAGCAAGGATAATTCAGTACTTTGCCAAGTGCCAAACTCTTGAGAAGTCAGTGGTGGACTGCATTTGAGAAGTATCATGGCGCACGGGTTTAAAAGCCATTTGTTGCTGTTTGTGCAAGTTACAAATGGGTTTTCAAAGTAATAAATCTCACCTCAGTTCTCAGTAAAAGGGCCGTCTACAGTAGTGAGCAGAGGTAAGGCAATTTGAAACTCAGGTTTCCCACTGTGAATGGCACCGATGCTTGGGTTTCACTTCTGTCATTCGCTGACAGTCTGTGAAGTCTTGCTTTGTGCTGCTGGCCTCCACTCCGGAGTGAAAGCAGGGACCTATAGTCCTTGTCCATCTGCTCATCTTCAGAACTTAGCGTGGAGTTCTGCATAGTAAGGAGTCAACATTATTTGTTGAATAAATTCATGAATGAATGAATCCCATGAAAGCAAAGTTCTACCCCAGAACACAGCCACAAGATCCTCAAAATACAAATGATAGCCATGAAATGCCACTGACAGTAAAGAAGCTATCAGCAGAGCAGTCTTGGCCAGCATTGAAGAGGGAAGATGTTGCCTTTTTTTTTTATTTTGTCTTTTTGAGACAGGGTCTCACTATGCAGTTCAGGCTGGCCTTGAGTTCACTTTGTAGGCCAGGCTGGTCTCAAATTCCCAACGGTCCTCCTGCCTCAGCCTCCCGAGTGCTGGGATTGCAGGCGTGCGCCACCACACCTGGCTAAGATGTTGACTCTTTTCAGTCTGTGTTCTCTTCTTTACAAGCTCTGACCTCAGGGCCTGTCTCAAGTTGTGTTCTGCGGGGTCCTGTCCAGGAAGCACTGAAAACTTTCTACCGCTGACAGAGATAGGGAACAGAAAGCAAATCTGCTTCTGCACCCTACCAGCACGGTTCTGATCAAGGCATTCTCTGCTGCTTCTAAGCAAATCTCTGAACCTGAAGACGAACACTTTGTGTCGCATTCTTACGGCGTGAAGTGGTGTCTCTGGGCAGTGACAGAGCCCCCGTGCTGCATCTGCATCCCTCTACTGCTTTGCCAACGCTCCCTGTGTCCCAGAAACAGGAGCCGTAAATGCACTGACCAGATTGCACCTGGTGCTGTTTCGGAGCTCGCCACAGCACGTGGTCTGGGCTTCCCTTGTTCAGCTTCTGCCTTTCCTCCCCCAGTGGCTCAAGCCAGGAGTGATACATGAAGGAGAAGCTAGCACCCGACCCATTTTCCTCTCAAGGAAGAGAATAACACAGGTAGTCAGAAATGGCCGGACAGGACAGGACTAGTCAACCCCAGTGAAATGCAGTGGTTCCCTACATTGTTTTCTCTAAGGTAGTAACAGAGAACTACTTGCATCTTAACTTTTTAAAATGTGACAGCTCTTCTCAGCTTTGACTTCACAGGTTGTGCTTCACCCTCATGCTTTTCTGCCTGGAACAGCTTCCCCCACCTTCCTGACTTTGTGTTTCAGCGGGGGTCTCACCACCTATGCACCCCATTCCAAACCTTCGGGTCCTGCTCCGTATCCCTTGGCTGTGTGCCCGTTGTCTTTTCACTTACTACTTTATATTCAGTGGGGCACTAGTTTGAGTGTCCATCTCCTGCCTGGAAGGAAGCAGTTCCTTGACAGCGGGAGCCACGCCTTGCTCATCTCTATCTCACGGGTGCTGATGTAAAGGTAGTGCATGGAGTGAGCTCAGTAGGTATTGATCAGAAGAATCATGTTACCCGCACACCAGGACACCTCACACAGCCCGACCTCTTTTTCCTGCCTCAGAGCTTCTGGGAACGTGAGAGAGAAACATTTTGAGTGACTTTGCCTTTTAAATCTCCTGAGACCACAACTTCTTGTAATTTCTCTTCCTTTGTAGGAACCTCTTGCCAGAGCTGTGAAAGGGAAGAGAAGGAATCATGTCAACGATTGCGGCTTTCTACGGCAGCAAGTCCATTCTCATCACAGGCGCCACCGGCTTCCTGGGCAAAGTGCTGATGGAGAAGCTGTTCCGCACCAGCCCAGATCTGAAAATCATTTACGTCCTTGTGCGGCCCAAGGCTGGGCAGACACTGCAGCAGAGGGTTTTCCAGATCCTCAACAGTAAGGTGTGTGTGGGAGGGCGGTGTGTGTCCGGGCAGTGCGGCAGGTGAGGCTCCTCCCTGCGTGTCCCCTTAGAGCCAAAGGCCGGAATATCTGTGCAGACAGAGAGCAGGGCTCAGGGCAGCCGCTTGTGGAGATGAGAGAGCGTGTCCATTCAGCCCAGGGCACAGAGGGAACCATCTTGTTCTGAAATTACTAATAATTGAAATACTAAATCTCCCCACATGGATGCTCCAGGCTTAAAATCTTTTGCAAGCTCATCTGGACTCTTCCTTAATTCTTTTGCTAAATTCAAGGTGCCTGGGCCAGGGATATAGCTCAGTGGTACAGTGCCTACTTGGCAAGCACAAGGTCCTGAGTTCAATTCCTGGTATCAAAAAAAAAAAAAAAATGAAGGTGCGTTCCCTCCAGAATTTTGAATACTCTCCTATCATGTCCGATTCTGTGAGATGGACCAGCGATGACAGTAAGTAAACATGCTGTCACACTTCTGGATGCCCAAACCTTGCATGGTTTGGCTCTTACTATTGTCCATTAGGTTCTGAGGTGAAGACATTGAAAATGAAATATTGTTTATCTGTGAATGAGCGTTTGGGTATCAAATCCTTTTACCCCTCCACAAGTCTACATATCCTCTCAGGTGTAAATTTTAAAGAAGTATAACCTCTGGTCTCAAGCACATCCAAGTTCAGATTCTGGCCAGATTCATCATGTTTAACATAGAAATGATGACAATTACCTTCTGCAGAAATTGAATAAAAAAAAGGTATATATCTGGCTGCACGGTACCCTTTGGAGTACACAGATCACCAAGGCTATGCAAATGGAAGATCTGGAGAAGTGTTTCTTTTTACAAAATCACTCCAGTGTGCAATTGCTCCACCGCAACATCTTGAAGACACCTGTGGTTATAATCCTATAGCACATCCCACACTGACCGTCACACTCCCGTGCTGGCACCGGGATGAGATTTTGATACCAGCTACCACCGAGTGAACTTGGAGGTCCTCTTCTTGTCTCATGGAATTACTCAGCTGTGAGATAAATGATTAATAATAACCACTGATGGCCACTGAGTCCACGGCAGACTCTATTCCAGGCCTTATTCATGCCGCACCTCCTGTATCTCTGCAACAACCCTGTGAAGTAAGAACCACTCACAGCCTACTTGTATAGGTGGAGAAACAGCGTACAGTGCCAACCTCCCAGAGGTTAAAGGTCACGGGAGTCTCAGACCCCAAAGCCCCCTCCAGCGCCAGGTTTGCATAGCTGCTCCTACCCCACATCACCCTAGGGTAACTAATGGTTCTTTGGAATAAAACCAGAGGCTAACAGGTCATGAGCCCAAAGCTGGAATAGCTCCTGGGTCCGTCTTCAGACGGCCTTGCTTTGCTGCGTATTCCCAGTGGACTTTTTCATTACCCAGAAGATACACCTGCTCTGTCCAGTGCTATGCTCCCCACTACAGATTTCTACACAAGTAGTGTGTGGTCTTGGTCAGCATAGGCTTTGCCTTCTGCTTCTTTGGATGCATGCACTGTGTTTGATAAAGCAGAAACATTACCCTTGCTATGGCAATCTTGATTAGCCTGTGTATAACATCTGTGAAATGGCCTTGTGAATCCCCACCCACTGCTGGGTTACTTACTGTCAGCTGTGGGTTTTTATAAACAGGGGTTCTCAAAGTATGGACCCAAGACCAGCGGCATCATGTGAGCTGCCTGTCATTTTCGGAACAGAAGCAGGGCTTCAAAGTCAGAATCTCCCGGGTTTGAAGTGAAGCCCTGTCAACGAGCCGTGTGATAGAGGGCAAGGCACATGCCATGCGGGTCCTTGGCTTCTTCTCCTGTAAAACGTAGTGACAGTACCTTCCAGAGAGTGAGAGTACTGTCATCGCAGGTCTAACGTCATAAGGTACGGCCCTAGCCACTCTCCCCTATGGCCTCACATTTCATTGTTGTGCCATTTTTTTGTATCAATTTTTTTCTCTACAAATTTTTCCTCAAAGAAAAAGAATGTGCTGTGCATAGTATACTTGAAAATGTATTATTTGTGGTAAACTACCATGTCTACCCAGCTCCTTTACAGGAAACAAGAACGTATTCTGTTCCTTGACTATTAAAAAAGAAAGTCATTGGGTCCACAATCACATGCTTTCGTAGCACTGTGTGGGGTCAGATAGCTGTAAAGAGATTCTTTGCAGAAAATGTTAGCTACTTGCTCTCATCTTCGGGGCGTGCCCAGACTGAAGAGCTCCCACTGCCCGGTTCTAAATGCTGCGCTGTGAGGATGCTGCTGTTCCTGGCGATAAATAAACACGCACTCGAGGAGCTGCCCAGTGAGAGACTAGTCGTCTGAGACTCAAGGGATTATTCACCTTGAAGTTGAAAATTTGAAATAAAGACAAGTAAGATAGGGTTAGACTTTTTAAAATTACACAGATGGTCTACTTTTCAATGGTGAAAAAACCCATGGCTTATGTTAATTTTTTAATTTATGCCCATTTCACTTTGGTATCTAGCATCATTTAGTGGGGCTGGGGATTTAGCTCAGCGGCACAGCGCATGCCTGGCAAGCACAAGGTGAGTTCGATTCCCGGTACCGGAAAAAAAAAAAGAAAGAAACACATTTAGAATTATTTAGTGGACATACTTCTTTCTGTAAAATTAGCATGTTAACCTATTGTCTACATCTGTGCTATGCAACGTAGTAACTCTTAGCCCCATGTGACTATTTAAATTTAAACTCTTTACAAGTAAATGAAGTTTAAAATTCAGTTCCTCTTTCACACTAGCCAATGGTAATGGTTCTTTTATTGGGCAGAGCAGGGGTGGAATACTGCTATTCCTACATCGAGTTCTGTGATTATGTATCTGTGGAGTAGACGATACTGTGATCCAGACATCCATACTGCCCGTCGTTGTGAATCACACAGACCCTTACTCAAGTTTTTACTGTGTGCCAGTTGTTTGTAAGATACCAAGAATATGAAGACAAAACTGGCATAGCCAAGTCCAGTCCCAGAGCCTGACCTGTGGAAGGTGTGACCACAGTCAACCTGAGCTCTCCAGCGGGGGAGAGCAAAGTGAGAAAGGAGAAAGAATCCCACCCACCCAGGCATAGGCAATGAGGGGTAGGTGTTCAGGAAATTCTGAGCAATTGTGGAGCAGGGGGCAGTACATGAGATTAAGACTAAAGAGTATGCTGAGGCCAGATCCAGAAAGACTTCACCTACCTGTGTCAGGTTGCTTTCAGTTGAAATAGAAATTGAACTTGGCCTAAAAAGCAAAAGTATTGATTGAATCCAAGACGAGATGGTGAGGAGCGCTGACTCAATGGAGCTCAATGCCGGGGTCTGTGAGTCTCTCCGCTCTCCAGTTCTGTTCTGGCTTTCTTCCCCTAGGAATGAGCTGTGGCTGAGGCTCCAAGCTTCACATACATGCATGGCAGTCTTGGGATCAAGACTGCTGGCTGTCTTCTAAGACGTGCAACACTTTTCCAGAATGTCTCGGATGGCCAGTGTCCCTCACACCTCATTAGTCTGGGGAAAGTTACATGTCCACTTCTGAGCCTGAGGCAGCTCACCTACTGATCTGCTCAGAAACCTCAGACCCAAGGCGATCACTGTGCCGAGCTAAGAGTGCACAGAGATGAACGAGCCTCTCGCATTTCCTACGGTACCCTGGCTCCTGGAGAAGGGAGGTCGCCCGTTGGTGATTCAGAGAGGCAGGAACAGACGTTAGGAGGGAAGCATCCTGACCACAGCGTGTTTCTGGGTGGCACAGGCCTGAGCTGGTGTCCTCTGCCCACCTCTGAGCGGTGTGGCTGCAGTCCCGAGCCTCAGTTTCCATAGTAAAACAGCAGCAGTCAACATCCTTCGCACTACTGTGAGGTGTAAGTGGATTACAACTTCAGTAGTGCCTGGACCATACTAAGGACTGGCAGAGTAGCTTATCACGTTCTTAAGCACACGGGGGAGGGATTGAGCTCCACTTCTATAGCAGAGGGCTCCAATTATGGGCGGAGGCTCTTTTAAAACTTTTGGTTCTGACAGCTAGATGATTTCTTACATTTAAGTACAAAATAGTAATAATATAGTACGGGAGTGTGGCTGATGAAGACAACAGTGAGCTTGCGAGCTGTGCTGGGTGTCGTTGGTCGAGAGCTCTGCAGTTGCGACCCAAATCATTCCGCTCACAGGGCTGAGAATATCTACCATCCAGGCCTTGACGGGAGTGTGCCAACTCCTGGAGTAAAGAGAGGAAAAATGCCTGATAGAGAACATCTGACCTTGTTAGGTAAAATATGTTCTTATAAAATAATCTTAATGTACAGTGCAGCTAGAGGCAAAGTAAGAAAATTCCTAGAAGTTCACCAATGAAAAGGGAGAGCGAAAGGGAGGGAGAGATCAGTGGACAGATGAATACTGATGGGGAGCCAAACCTGTACCAGGCACTGAGCTGTGTGACAAGGAACCGCGGGGAATAAGGTAGTAAATAACAAAACAGACGGGAGGGCTCCTCATAGATCTAAGCCCCGCAGAGTAGACACCTTTTATATAATAAATAAGGAAATAAATGTCTCTTTAAGTATTTTTGAAAAGTACTGTGCAGGAAAAGAACAAGTTGCTCTGAGAGAGAACAGAAAGTGGGACCAGCTTCTAAGTCATGCTTCCAGAAGAGGACCCAGAGGTGGGTCTGTTAAAGCTTAGAAGCATTTCGAATGTTCTAGAAAATGCAAGAGGGCAATTGTGACTTTAGTATAGAGAGGGGCACCCTGAAATGTACTCTCATTTGTTAAAAATTTGGGAGAATAGATGAGAGCAGTGATGGTGAGCCTTTTAGGGACAAGTGCCCAAGCTGCAACCCAAAACCCACTTATCACGAACTGCCAGCACTGCAATTAAACCTGAGTGCTGAGGTTGTAGTTTAGAAAGGAACTCATGCATTAACGTCTTTGTCTTAAAAGAAAAACAAATAACATGTGTGCCACTGGATTAGGGGAA